TTTCTTATTCTCATTTAAAATAATAATCTGAATCTTACAACCAAAGTTTTTACCTGATGTAAAACATATAGAAATCATATATATACCAACAAGACTGTACATCACTGTCACAACAGCGTTTGTTTTCATTCAAAGGCTTTATGGATTTTCCTGTAATACCTGGGGGGCCGGTCTCTAATCAAAATGCCCGGGCCGATTTTTTGTCCCAGTCCAGCCCTGTGCACGACACGCAGTAAATTAATCTGAGAAGGTGCATAAAAAAATAAATGGCCAGGCCAGCAGTGCGCATCGCAAATTAGCTCGCATAGACACATTAGTTGTGCTGGTTCCTAATGACGGTATCTTAGCTAACAACCCCAACTACCAGATTCAACTTGTAATTGGCTAAAAATCACTTAGCCTACTGGTGAGAGGGACGTTGCTAGCTCTCAGTTTTTTCATGCGATGTTGAAATTTCCACATTCCGACACTTCAAATGCTTCAGGAGCTCTCCACTCAGCGCAGTAACTGTTAATATAGAGCATTATTAAATTTATTGCTAATGCAATTATATGGCACATTGACTTCTGAGGAAATTTTAGATAGCACTCGTCATCAAAAAGGTTGCCTACCCCTGGACTAGATGATGTTAGCACATGCTGTATGCTTTGTACACTGAACCCGCCTGGTGTAGAATGTCACAGAGGTTTGTCACTTAGGTTGTCATCACAGGAAGATGCCCTCGTATTACTTACCACAAAATACCTGGCAACGTGCACATAGAAACCTCAGCATTTACCTTTTAAGATAAAGCTCCTGAAACTGTTTTGTTTGCTGCATGTCTTCCATGCATAAACAAAACAGATTAAAGCGCTGATTAGCTAAAACGAGAGAGGAGCTATGGTGACGCTGTGTTGTGATAATTTAAAATGCCCTTGAGGAAGAGGTCAGGAGTTTAGTGTTCAGATGACCTCTGACATTAGATCGCTCAGGCTCTGTGACTTCTGAGGAATAAGAGGTCAGCGCTCCAGTTCTACGACACAAATTTCCCACAGGGCTTCATCTCTTCTAACGGTATGTACTATTTCTAAAGTTGCTTTTAAATGCTAGTTGCATGAGGAAGAAAAAAGGTCAAAGTGAACACATACCAACTTGGGTTGAGGGAGAAAGTTGTTGACCCTGGATATGCTCCACATGCCCTCGAGGTACTGCTGGGCTTGGATTGTGACGGTGCTCAGAGATCCAGGGAGCTGCCCTCCTGCCACTGTCACCTGGACACTGGTCTTTGGCCCTGAAGTGCTAGCTGCGTTCTGGGACCAGCTTGGTACCCCATGGCGCTCCCCTACTGGCAGGACAGAGTGGGGAGAGGGCTGACTTTTCGAGACTTGTTTTGTTTGGATGCTGGAGGACGACACGGTGAATCTAGAAGGCTGTGGTATAAAAGATGTTTTGGGCAAGGCAGCCATGTTGGAGCTGAAGGCCAAGACAGGAGCATGGAGTGTCTGCAAGGCCTCCTGCCTCAGTTGGTGGAGAGGTGTAGAGCAAACTTGGCAGCATCCAGGTTCATGATTCCCAGGAGTTTGGAGCTGCTCGAACAGGAAGGTTGCATACCCGGGGTCCTGCAGAGAAAAACAAGAAATGCACTTTAGCTCAAAGCACAGCATTCGGAACAGAAACACTTTGAAGGAAACATGTTTTTTCCAAAGCATAACCACATTACAATTTTTTGTATATATGTTGTGTCAGTGGTCTGCTAGCAATGTGGTCCCTGACTGCCCTCTGAGACCCTTACTAAGCTTTTGCCGACTCCCTCTCTTGGATGATTGTTTGTTCTGAGTGGCCTCAGTGCAGAGGGCTACGGTAGAGGTGTGTTTTCGGTACCATTTGTTTGTTTCTCTGTCAGCGAGATTAGGGCTACACAAATACTACCAGGCTGAATTTCCTGAGACTTGATGAACAGACACAGCATGGGGAAAGGAAGAACCCATTAAATTGTGCTGCTTATCCAAATCACCTTTAAAACTGCAAGATAAGGCATCAACCTTTGGTGGAGGATTACACCCTCTGCAAGTTCCCTTCTAGTTTAGATGCGCAGCCTGCATGCAACTTAAAACTGCTGATCCCCCCCCCCCAAAATAAATCAGACATGAAGTAGAGTTTGCAGAAATTAGTGCTAAACTGAGAAATTAGTTAACATTTTCTACTTGTTAAAGACTTGTTAGATGCATGAAATAATGCATCAGCTCTACGCACTTTCACATTCTTGATCCTCAACATGAATTCAAAGTCAAATATTTGAATTCTGAAGTTTGTACTTGTCCCAGAGAAAGTATTTGTTAACATGTTGGCCTGAAAAACTAAAGACATTATCCCTGCAGCACTCTACAAAGCTCAGAGGGATTAGCCGAGCATCCCACAGAGACATTCCTCGCATTAAAAAAAGCACAAGTGAAATGTGGCTGCTATTTACTTTTTGCAGTTTTAAAAGAGAACACCACACAGACTTCAGCTTATTACTGCTTTTAGCGATGGTGTCCAGTAGAGCTTTGTCCTCTCACTTCCTCTCTAAGAAGGCTTCCTAGGGTTTCCATTGCTGTTTGCAAGAACTAACAAAAGTATAAAACAGCCTTGGGGACTCTGCGCCTAAAGCTATAAAATTTACATATAATAAGTGTCCCATTGTGAAAACATATGACAACCTACTCTCTGGGAAGCTGGAAGCATACAGACCTATCATAAGTAAAGGCATAGGAGGGGAAAGAATATAACTTTCTGTCTGTTTTAGTGAAACTAACCTTCACAGAAATATACACACACACCTACACACACAGAACTAGAGAGAGTCTCTTAAGAGGCATAAAGAGGCACTACAGGATTCTGCCCAGAGGAGTAGTGGCCTAAGACAGAAGCTCACAGCCCCTACATAAATGTTTATGAGACCTTTGCTCCTTAGAACCTCCGAGGTGATCAGGAGGAGTGAAGCTGCGGGGAAACAACAATCCGCTGCTCTAATGCAGTGCCACTTAATACAGCTAACCCAAGATGGGCCCAGAGACCAAAGAGGCAGGCAGAGGGACTCTAAATCTCCTCCCTATGAAAGCCACTCAATACACAGACTTTTAGATTACCTTTCCCTGCAAACAGCATTAATAGTATGATCACGCAACGTTCCAAGGCAACCTTCTGCAGCCTTACAAATAAAAACAGACTCTTTTCTGCCATATATTTCCTCTCATCTCATAAAGACACAAAAAGCAATATAGTTTAAGTCATGCTCAATCTATTCTTTGCTTTATTCTTTACCTAAAGCACAATCATGCAAGAGAACCATTCTGGTTAATGATCTGCTATATTGGCTGCTTACTTTGCACATGGACAAATGTGGGCAGGACACAAGCACAACTAAGAAATGCAGTCAGAATGTAGAAAATCCCATAAATCCGACTCTAAATGAGAACTCTGGGGTGACAACTGTCTATGGTTGATCAGCTGTCTATCAAATGGCTGTTGTACATCCCAATGAGAAAAGGATTTAAATGTGAGAAGCTTAAGATATATGAAATAGGATAGAGCTTTAAAAATGATATCTAATGCTCTTTGATCCTGACACGTGAACAATCCCGGCTGTTATGCTCAGACAGGATATTTATGCACAAGACAGGACAGTTCTGCTGAAATAAGATCAAACGGTCTACGACAAATTGGAGTGGAATATGAAAGCACCGCTGGCTGCCGTTTCCACAGTCTAGTCTGGGTTCATGTATACGCTTCTTAGACAGGAAATTGAACCAAAGTCATAACAAACCAACTCCACCCCTTAACCCTTTTACCTTTCGACCACTCCTTACCCACCTCAGGGTGCTGGTACATCGAAGAAATCAACACCACCCCCTACCCATCTCTCTCTCTCTCTCAGCGTGCATTGTTAGGTGTTGATTTAGGGGAGCTAATAAAAGGACACACAAAGCTGAGCACATCTGCTATTCAGTTAGGATTCTGGAGGTTAGAGAGCAGGCTTCTCCTGTAAAGCTGTCTGTAAGCTTTACGTATGCTCGTTGGAGTGAATAAAGGGTCAGGGCCAGAAGGCTTATGAGGTTGATGATGATGGGTATATGGAAGAGAATGATGTGGGTAGGTGGAAACACAAGGACAAATCCATATTTATGTGGTACATATTTCACACACAGATCAGAATTCAGGTTTGGATGTAAAAATATCTCAAGTCAGCTGAAAAGTGGCCATAGTTAGGCATGGAAATATTTCACCTACAGGTTTGTACCTTCACATTTAAGCAGTGTGAGAGCTTGTGGATAAGGATATCAGAGAAAACATGAAATGTATGATACATGAGCGCACCCACCCCCAAAGCCATATTGTTTCTTTTATTATCCATTTGATCTATTACTGACGGGTGCAACTGGCAGCGAGGAGTAGCGCTGCTGCAGAGAAGTCTGCAACGCTCTGCATCAACACAACTCAAACGCTCAAATCATTCTGGTTGGGGAAGAGGCATGGAAGCTACTTTGGGGCTGTTACCTCTTGGCCATTGTTACTGTGGGAGACGGTTTTGGTTTTTCAACCCAAGGCCTGTCCACTGAAAAATTAAGCAGCACAAGCAAGGATAAAAAGACAGTGAGGAGTGGGAGGAGGTAGGCCAGGGTTGTGGCCCTTGCCCGGAGGCTTGTGGGTGGCTGTGTTGGTTTACTGCCTGACAGCATGGATCTTTATTAAACTCTGGGGACAGATGCTGCAGCCTTATTATGGAAAGGAGCTGTGTTGAGCACACTAGAGAGAAGCCCTGCTTGTGGATTCAACCTTTCACAGCCCTTAGAGACATAAGTTTGTCTTTGTCCCTCACACTAACTGTGATGAAAAGCAGGGTAGCAGCAGCAGGAGCGATGAGCCACCCGGCTGACTAGCTCTCTGGGTTGATGGAGAGTGTCATCACAGACATCCCATGCCCAGAGGCTGATGGAAACAAGCTCAGCCGTAACCACTTATGGATGAGGCGACAGGGAGAAAGATGTGCATGATTTCACTCCTGTGTGTCCTCAGGGTAGAAGCAGAACTGGTCAAAGTCACACATAGGTTTTTCCTCAAATCACACCTCATTTACCTTGCCTTGTCAGAGCGCCTTCACTCTAACCAGACAAAGGAAAACTGCCATCTAACAGTTTCCGCATTCGGTCTCTGATGTGCTTCTCATGTGGAGCGCTGAGGCCAGATATTGCAGGCTGACTCAAATCAAGGGAAGGTCACAGTGATTTGAAATGCATGAGGCCCCTCGCTAGCCGAGACACTTTTAGGCACGCTCCATTGAAAGTAAAATACTCTGGGAAACTATATTTTCTATTCCAGTTGAGCTCAACAGATATTTCCCAGACATAAAAGCGCCCCGTGACCCTCTGCAGCTCCAGCAGAATAAAAACAAAGCAAAATTGTACCAACATGTATCGATGACGGAAAAAATAAAGTGGAAAGTTCTGACATTCGACAGCCAGCTGCCGGTCAGCTCATATCTGAACAGTTTTAGAGCTGCCAGCACTCGGTGGCATTCTGCTGTCGGTGATTTGCTTTAATACTCGTAACATCTGTGAAGTCATTCACTACTCCTAAGTCCTTTGTGTGCTCACCTCAAGCATCCATTAAACTGAAAGACCTGCCAGGTTAACTCTTAAATTCAGTTTAAGATTTCTACCTTGTTCTTTCAGGTTTTTATTTTATTATCCTGTGAACACTGGAAGCATTCCTAAATACGAGTCAGTACAATGTCGTGCTGCTTTATATCTGTCCTCTCACCGGCACCAGTCCTATTTACACATCACAATTCTTAAGTACTTCCTACTGACTTTCTTGTAAAATCAAGACCACACAGCAGCTGCCAAATCTAATGCCCTTTCAACTCCTGACTTTCCCTTCCTCTCCTGCTCTGTAAGGATGTGACAGAGCCACGTCTGTTTACCCAGCCTGAGATAGTGTTGACCTAAACCACACATGGCCTCCTGAAACAGATTGCCCCCCCAATAAACCGCAGGAGCCCACTTCAGATCCCAGGTTGAGGACGAGAGCTTCCACCAAGCCCACTTTCCCACAGGTAGCACGGCTAAATCTGACAGCCATGTCGGAGAAAAACGAGCACAGCTGCTGGCCTTGCCCCGAGTGAGCACTGGGCATTAAGGCAGATTACATTCCCAGGATAAAAGCAACCACAGTGGTGTAATCCCTTTCTCGCCCTCCCCTCCGCTCCTTCTCAACTATCCCCACCACCTCCACTTCTACGACTCTACTCACATCCCCTGAAGGAGCGAAGACCCGGAAGGCCAGCAACTCTGATTAGATATCAGGTAGAGCTTTTAGTGCCACAGCATATCTAGGATACAGACCATTAAATTTAACCACTGCCTGCTCGGAGGCAGAGAAGACAATGACTCAGGATGTCACACTAGCATGCTATTTAACTCTGTGGGAACGCCTTTGGTAGAACACAAAATGGGACGGTTCAACAAATCACATCAAACAGATGCTTGTCCCCGTCTGCTGACTCGACAAGATTAAACAAACCTGTAATAAGGCTTTTCCCCCAAACAAGGCAACAGTATCTCCAGCAACAAAAGTACAC